AGCTCCAGTAGAAATATAATCTGAACTGTAAATAGATGCACTTTAACATTCTCTATAGCCACATTTAAAAGTAAAAGGAAGACAGTGAAACTAATTTTAACAATATATTTAACCAGTTACATTCAAACTATTACCATTGCACTGTGTGGCCCGCACCACAGTTCAGAATCTGTCGTCACGTACTGATCAGTATTGCACTGGACCAGGGCTACTCAAAGCATGGCCCACGAACTGGTGCCAGGTCCACAGAAGCTAAGAGCAGGAATAGTTGAAAGTCTGTTTGTATCAGGCTCCCACATGTCTTGTCCTTCTTTACCCAGAGCAGCCAGGAGACCATTGTTCCTCTGCTTTGGATAAGACTAGAGATTTACAGTATGGAGGAATTCAATCAGAGAGTTTGAGTCACAGCTGAAGTTGGGATGTCCTTTGAAAATAAGGGTACCTTTTTGAAAAGCAAAGAATAAGTGAGAGTCCGAGCATCGAAAATTAAACCTCATCATTCCCTTTCCTCTGTTCTCACAACACGGCAGTCAGGTGACTGTTACCTAGACAGGAGATCAGACCTTTTCTTGTGGGGATGATTTACCAGCCACAAGACAAGTTGACTTCGGAGGATCCCCTAATACAAAAATTATCTCATTGCATCATTGCCTTCTAGTAAAGTTTGCCAATTGACAAGCCCCACCCGTGCAGACAGAGCTTCTCCCCTCGGATTGTAGTGCTGATGGGCAGCCAGGGGACCAGAGGGAAAGCCTCAGAATGAAAAACAAGAGGCCTGTGGGCTCAAGGAGCAAAAGAGGTGCTGAGAAGAAACAAATATTTAAGGATATATTTTTGTAAAAGAACAAAAGTATTTTAAAAGTTTGCATCCTCAGAGCAATAAGATGTCTAAGAAATGAAAATAGGGTGCTATTTAAAAGCACACTCAGAGAACAGAAAAACAGTTGAGGAAATTAAAATTGTGACAGGTAAAATTACAACAGCAATAAAAATGTTGGAAATTCAAGCTAAAGAAATTACCAGAAAGTACCAAAGAAGAGAAATGCAAAATGGAAAGAAAATAGAAGGTAGGCCAGGCGTGGTGGCGCACCCCTGTAATCCCAGCACTCGGGAGGCGAGTTCGAGGCCAGCATGGGCTACAAAGTGAGCTCAAGGCCAGCCTGAACTGCATAGCGAGACCCTGTTCCCCCTCCCCCAAAAAAGAAGGTAATCAGAAGAGCAATCAGAGGTGTAGTGTCTCAAGAAAATGACTTTAAAAGGGAAGGTAGAGGGCAGTGGGGAGGACATGAAAGGGGCATTTAGCACAGTGAATGAAGAAGGCCATGCAAAGAGGAGGAAAACCAGCTCGTTTTTCAGAAAATGAAACAGATCCCATATAGCAGACTAGAAATTCATGTGGTTTGAGACCTTTCAGCAGACAGCTACAGTACAAGCTAGAAAGCGGCGTGATGATGGCCTTGAAATCTGGAGGGTAAGTTATTTCCCACTGTTATATTCTGACAGAATAAAAAAAGGTGAGGATGAAACAGAACACTTTTATTATAAAAGAAAGGGGAGTTTCTGGAATAGCGGGAAGGGGAAGTCACAGGACAGGAGTGTGGAGGCAGTTTGACCTTAGTGAGAATTGTTTCAAAATTCTGAGAAAGAATGCAGTAGACAGAACACCAAGCAAAAAAAGGCAGTAATTCCAGGAAGAACAAATGACTGTACAGGAAAGAAAAGTGGCTTAACTTTGAGCAGTATTCACATGGTCATAATGATGCCTATAAATATTAATTTAACCAAAATATGTACTTCGACTGCTTCAGTATTTTGAAATCAGTGTCTTAAACCAAAAAATTGAGTATGTTATCCAAAAAAAAAAAAAAAAAATTACCAACAGAAATAGCTAAAAGAATTTAATTTTCTGGAATCCCAGAGAATGAAAATCAAGGATCAAAACAGTATGGTGGGCGATGCTATTTTTTGTTAGAAGCCCTGTAGTAGTATTTGACCTTTAAGCTATATATGGATCAGGTAAAAATAAAAAGTTTTAAAGAAATTAGGACAGAAAGGAGTTAAGATATTAGAATACTGTACATGTACAAAGATAATGGAGTCACCAAGAATATAGTTGGAATTAGGCTATATATAACAGGATTGTAAGCAAGGAATTCAAATCTTAACTTACCAAGAATATTTGAAGGTCAGATGTGTGGTGAAGTAACTAATGGTCAGCTTGGAACCCTCAGCTGAACTGAGTCAGTATGGTTTTGGGTGTGGAAGACCCACTCACTTGAGGACTGGTGCCAACAGCATGAAAGAACTGAGAGGAAGATTGCATGCTGTTGCTGGAGAAGCTTGTTGCACTGGCTTTCCTCCCTGAACTCAGTTCTCACCATTGGAAGAGCTTGAGTCCTTGCTGTTGCTGAGGATGGCTGCTGTTCTCTTCGGGGAAGCTCTGGTCCTCGCTTTGACATTACTTCCTGGCTCCATTGCAGACCCCTCAGCCTGCTGGCACAGATCCTTCATCCCGCTGGTACAGACTGTCTAGCTTCCACCACTGACCTTTGAGCCTTCCCAGTGCAGATCCTTGATACAGACTTGCATGAGACATTGTCTTGGGCTTTAGGCCTCCAGCTGGACTTGTGGAGAACATTGCCAAGGGCTCTAGGTCGTCAGTTGGACTCTTGAAGAACATTGCCATGGGATCCAGGCCCTCAGCTAGATTCTTTGGGTCTCTAGTGTGTGGATCTCCCACATTCTTTTACATTTGACTCTTTGGGTGAACATTGTAAAATAACCCTATAAATTATGTGCCCTGCATTAAATCTCTTCCCTTGCAAACTCTGACTACAACAAGATGTAAGCTTCAAAGCTTACAAAAGATTTTTGCATGAGGGAAGAAGCAAATGTTCTAAGCACTTAATGAAATTTAATAGTTCTACCTAATACATTTTTATGAAAACATCCAAACTTTCCATGTGTCCAACACTATGCTTTTAATAAAGAATAAGTCAGGTCAGGGACATACCTCAGTGGCACAGTGCCTACCTGGCAAGTGCAAGGTCCTGAGTTCAATTCCCAGTACCAAAAAAAAAAAAGAAAGAAAAAGATCATCTGAAAGTACCCTTCATGGTGTCATAGATGTAAATTCTGTATGTTGGTATTGTCATTAGTTGAAAAACTATGTTCATGCAAGAGCCTTGCCTCTGAGAAACTAATAGATATATAGAGAGAGATATGAGGGGTGATCAAAATATAATATCTTTAAATTTTTATAATATATTACAGTAAAAAACCCATTGCCATCAGTCCCCTTCAGAATACGCCCCCTTGCTTCAAATACACTTCCTCTTTGTTCCTGCCACTTTCTGAAGCAGTTCTGGAAGTCCTCTGTCATGTCTTCACAAGGTGTGATTAACTACATAGTGAGTGACGCTACCCCATTCAGTTGGCAGGCTGGTAAAAACATTATGGAGGCCTCATCCACTTCCCTCATGGGATCTGGCATGTGTGACTTTTGCCTCTTCCCCAAAGTCAAAATGATCATGTCGATGTTTTCAGTCAGTTCAGGCCGTCAAGGCAGCTATGACAGCACAACCAGACACCCACAATGAGGGCTTCCAGAACCGCTTCAGACAGCGGCAGGAACGAAGGGATAAGTGTGTTCGAGGGGAGGGGGGATTAATGGCAATGTGTCTTTCACTGTTATAAAATTTTTACAATTTAAACATTCACCGAGATTTTTAATCATACCTCATGTAATTCATTTTAAGGAAAGTTTGTTGTATTCTCAACTTGTGTCACTGTCTTGAGAATGTATTTGTAACAAAGAGAACTAATCAAAATTATTTAAGTATCAGCTCTGAAGACTCACCACTGTACGAAACCAGTCATTTTCAAATACTGATCTTAAGTGGAGAATAGGAACAAAAAATTCTGAAAAATGTTTAAAAAGTACCATATGCATTAAATGACAAAGTAGAAAGACACTCCTGTAATCCCACCACTCAAGAGGTTCATCATTCAGGAGCAGCCTGGACTAGAGAGAGGCAGAGAGATGGGAGGAGGGAGGAGTGTGTGTGTGTACCTTAAAAGGTGCTCCGCTCTCATGATGTCACAAGTTGAATTTTAGGCTTTCCATTTCTACTTTGAATAAAACAGTATGCCTGTTGATGCAGTCTTAAGAAATTTTTTTAGTAAAGTACCATAAAGTACCTCTGATTTTTTTCTTTTAAACAGCAAGACTAAACATGCCAAGTTGCACTGCCTTTTGCTTTTGTTTTGCTAATTACTATAGTGTCATAACATTTTTACCCCCTAATATTCTATTTTCAGTCTTCCAGGGTAACAACTGGAAAGCTTAAAGGCACTTACCTGTTTAAACTTAAATGTGATATTCTTTCCTTCCTCCTAGTTTCCTTGCCATTCAGACCACTTCTTCAAAACCATGGATAAAACTTGATATTAAGTAGTGGAGAAGGAAGATACAGGATTTTAACCTGTTAACTTTAGGGTGCTGGGGAAGGAGTTGATGAGTGAAATCCGGAAAATTACTCCTTGAGTTTTGAAGTAATTTTAATGTGTAACACTAATGTCCTAGTCATTATAACTTTGGAGAAGTTATACAATTATGTCCACAGTATCTATTTTTCCTTTGAAATAACTTGAGACAATATTTCATTTACTCAAAGTAAGTAAACAAAAATCAGTGTTTTGAAATTGCTCCTTGGGAGAAAGAAACCAGAGTTGAATTGAGGGCCTCTTCCCTTCCATCTGAGTTTTAAGTATTCTTTCTGAAAGGAAGTGGAGAGTGGGGACCGTGTGGGTAATGGTCAGTGTCACTGACAGGGCCTGGTACCTACGACTACCAAACAGAACGCTTGCTGTGCCACTCGAGCAGGCACATTCCCACCCCTGCCACCGAGATGCCCGCTGAGAAGCGGAGAGAGCAAGCACTGCCTTTGTCCTCACGTGGCCGTCTTGATTAACTTCTCTTTTTTCTGTTTTATCTCTAGATCTTATAATCAATGGATAAAGTGGGGAAAATGTGGAATACCTTCAAATACAGATGTCAGAATCTTTTCAGTCCTGAGGGAGGAAGCCATAGTGAAAATGTGGACATGAACTCCAACAGATGTTTGTCTATCAAAGAGGAAAACATCAGTCTGGGAGACTCAGCTCCTCAGCAGCAAAGCAGTTCCTTAAGAGAAAATGTTGCCTTACAGCTTGGATTAAGTCCTTCAAAGAGTTCTTCCAGGAGAAACCAAAACTGTGCTACCGAAATCCCTCAAATTGTTGAAATCAGCATCGAGAAAGATAACGACTCATGTGTCACCCCAGGGGCAAGACTCGCGCGAAGAGATTCCTACTCTCGACATGCCCCGTGGGGCGGAAAGAAGAAGCATTCCTGTTCCACAAAGACCCAGAGTTCTTTGGATACTGATAAAAAGTTTGGACGCACTCGGAGTGGACTGCAAAGACGAGAGAGGCGCTACGGAGTGAGCTCAGTGCACGACATGGACAGTGTTTCCAGCAGAACTGTTGGGAGCCGCTCTCTGCGGCAGAGGCTGCAGGACACTGTAGGTTTGTGTTTTCCCGTGAGAACTTACAGCAGGCAGTCAAAGCCCCTCTTTTCTAATAAAAGAAAAATACATCTTTCTGAATTAATGCTCGAGAAATGCCCTTTTCCTGCTGGCTCAGATTTAGCCCAAAAATGGCATTTGATTAAACAGCATACAGCTCCTGTGAGCCCACATTCAACATTTTTTGATACATTTGATCCGTCCTTGGTTTCTACAGAAGATGAAGAAGATAGACTTAGAGAGAGAAGACGGCTTAGTATTGAAGAAGGGGTGGATCCTCCTCCCAATGCACAAATACATACATTTGAAGCTACTGCACAGGTTAATCCCCTGTATAAACTGGGACCAAAGTTAGCTCCTGGGATGACAGAAATGAGTGGGGATAGTTCTGCAGTTCCACAAGCGTCTTGTGATTCAGAAGAGGACACAACCACCCTGTGTTTGCAGTCACGGAGGCAGAAGCAGCGCCAGGTGTCTGGAGACAGCCATGCCCATGTTAGCAGACAGGGAGCTTGGAAAGTCCATACACAGATCGATTACATACACTGCCTCGTGCCGGATTTGCTTCAGATTACAGGGAATCCCTGTTACTGGGGAGTGATGGATCGCTATGAAGCAGAAGCCCTTCTGGAAGGGAAACCTGAAGGCACATTTTTGCTCAGGGACTCTGCACAAGAGGACTACCTCTTCTCTGTGAGCTTCCGCCGCTACAACAGATCCCTGCACGCCCGAATTGAACAGTGGAATCACAACTTCAGTTTTGATGCCCATGACCCTTGTGTGTTTCACTCTTCCACTGTAACAGGACTTCTGGAACATTATAAAGACCCCAGTTCTTGCATGTTTTTCGAACCATTGCTTACTATATCTCTGAACAGGACCTTTCCTTTTAGCCTGCAGTACATCTGCCGTGCAGTCATCTGCAGGTGCACCACATACGATGGAATTGATGGGCTCCCTCTGCCATCAATGTTACAGGATTTTTTAAAAGAGTATCATTATAAACAAAAGGTTAGGGTTCGCTGGTTAGAACGAGAGCCAGTCAAGGCCAAGTAAACTCTGCTGTCCCCACAGGGCATTAACTAGGCTTGCTTTCGTGCGCATCCGTACTCCTCTCAGAAGCACAGTGTCAGTGCTAGGTTCTCTCACACAGTCTGTAAGTTTAGTTACTCCTAATCTTCGTCAGATACAGTCTGCTGTTACTCACTCAGAGAAACGTGGTGCCTATTGAAACAACAGGGTGGAGCTGCAGGTGTTCAGTAAAGCTATGAAAAACATTAGCTGGTTTAGCTAACAGTTCGGTTTTGAATGGCTATAGTAATTGAGTGAGGCAACTCTGGGGCATTTGCTATGAAGAATTCTATTTCTTACTAAAGAACAAATTATTATTAGATGAGTATTCCAACAGTGTGACTAATGTTTGAAATTATTTTTTCTAAGAATTTTTCTATAACCTTCCAAAAGTTAGTGATGTTTGTAGTTACTATAAATCCAAGCTTTGGAAGTCCAAAAAATAAAAGACTGCCTTCCTTTTAGGAAAACAAAATGCAACTTTCTGGCCACAAGGGCATAGTGCAGTTCACTTAAGTGTTGATGTAGTTTATAGTTAGTCTCCTTTTCTCTTCTTCGAAAGGTACTGTTAAATAAACCAGGTTTTCTAAATAGTCACTCTTAAAATTTCAGACTTACGCAGTTAGTAGTAGAATTTTATTTAAAGGTCCTAGGTATTAATGTTTTTCAATGAGTGCTTTAACTTAAAGCAGGCGTTTGGACAGCTGCTGCAATTGTAGTACTGTGTGTGATTTTCTTACGTTGCCGTGTGCGGTCTAAACATTGTTTCATTAACGTTGGGTGTTTCCTGTGCCCAGTGCCCAAAATGAGTGTAAGAACCATGAAGAAAATGAGACTAGAAATTGCCCCAACAGGTCAGATAGGGTCAGATAGTCGTAACTACGGCGGTTGCTGCTGTTGAGATTATTGTTAAACTATAATTAATAATTTGGATGGCAGTATTGATCTCTTTGTTGTAAACTCTTATAGCTGAGTTGTTTAAGTATAATTTATAGAACTTCAGTGCAGTTAATTCTTCATGGAAAAACCTGAAACCTAAATTGCAGATGTAAAAGGTACTGTACAACTATCGTGTCTGTAAATAACTTCACTTAGCACCTTTTTGTCACTTAGGATAGTACATAATGCAACTTGGGTGAGCGCTTTGGGAAGTATTACCAGTTCTAGTGTTTGCGTAGTATTGAACTGAATTTTCAGTTCTGTCCTAGACATTTGCACTACAGTAGCCTGATGCATTCTTGTGTCCTTTTGTTAATGTGCTCTGTACCGCTGGCGAGTGTCCTTAGTTTCCTTACCAGTTGCTGCAGAACGTCATTTTATATCCCTATGGCTATCTCCAAGGCTACAAAAGAGAAAAGCTATATTTGTATGCAACACTAACCCTTTGACTGCTAATGTATGTTTCTGCTTGCTGTGCCTTGTTATGGCTGCTTTTTTTGTGCTAATAAAGTATGTTTGGTGTTCTCCTTGTATATCTGCTGGTTTATACATTTGCAACAGTTTCTCTGTACATGGACTGGTTTGGGTTTTAAATAAGCATTATCTGGCAACCTACTATATTTAATGCAGATTTACCTACAGTCTAATACTGACTTACCAGAATAAGCTAATTAAATTTAATGCTTTTCTAATAATCACATATACTGTGGAACAGTATAGTTACTGAAAATTACTGTACAGTTTAGGTTACACTAGAAAATTCACAGAGAAATGATTAAACAGTATTCTCTGCTTGTAAGTGAAAGATTGAAACTATCAGTGATATAGTAAACGAGTATTTGTAGCATCCAACTGCGTTAGAAACAGGTTAAACAAAGTCTTGTGAACTAATAGTACATCCGCACCGTTTATTGGTTTGGGGACCATTTTGTTGATAGTAAATGCCCACAATGTAGAACTTTGTAACCAAAGACTTGTCTATTTTAATGCAAATGGGGATTGAAGGGACTTAAATTTTCTATTTCTAGTAGAAGTCCCTGAAGAACATATACCAAAGTGTTTGAGAACGTCATCCAAACCTACTTTAAAGCATTATGTGCAATTAAGTTGTTATGACATAATTATACTGCATAATTGTTGGGTTCGTTTTCTTGAGCTTACAATGTACCTGGAAAATAAACCTCTTGAGAGAAAAAAATCCATACTGATTATTGGAGAAGGACTATATATGCAAGCAAGATGGTGTTTTGAAGAGGTAACTTGAAACTCCAAGAAAGCACTTGATGTTTTTATATGCTTGTAGCAAATTGATGTTCTAACTTTAGTTTTATAGATAGTATTAATGCTTTTATGTTTCAGAACTTTCATATGTTAAATGGAAATTGTTTTAAATGTGTAGCTATTTGAGTTTATGTAAGCATGTATACACTGCTAAAAGTCACCTGTTTCACTTTGTGTGTAATATTAATATGCAGCTTTTGTTTTGTTTAAATTTTTTCCTTAAAATATTAGTGGCTTACATTTTAAAAAAGAAAAATCACCAGCATGAAAGTGCACCTAAGTCTATATTCACTGTGTCTTTTATAAACACCATTGTAGCCTGTCAACTAAATATGTTTTTATGGTCTGTTTGCATTTTATTACAAACCAGGCAATTCTATAGCAGTTGGGACATTTTGTCTTTAGTGAAATAACCCAAGGAAGGGTTGTTACCATTCATACCCACTTCCGTTCATTCGTTCTTTATCCAGCCCTTTTCCCTTTTCTTCCTCCCTCCCTCCATCATCCTGGCTTTCCCTTCTTCTTCCCTCTATCTCCCCCATATCAGGTGTACACATGTATCTGTATATTTATGTATACATACTTGTATACATACATTTATATGTGGTGTGAACATTACTTTGGACAATAATATGCCATCTGATTTAAAATCATTTACAGGCCTCATTCAGTAGCTATTATCTGAGGAATATTGTTGTACCGTTCAGACTTTATTATCTGCTCCTAAAGTTTAGCTTTGCTGCTATAGTCTAATTTGTAATATAGTCACCATATAGAAAGAGTTCATCAGTATCTTTTTTCACATGAATGTGCATAGCAACTTTATTTTTTTTCCTTCTTGGCTAATCAAAAATTAAAGACAAAACAACTTGCTTTTCAATTTTAATCATAATTAAATTTACATTTCTTAGACAAAAAAAATTGAGCCCAAATCATCATTTTTCACAAATCAGTCTGTGTTCTTACGGTCTTTTAGAAGGTTTTGTAAGATTTAGAATGGCTTGAACCGTAAAAACGGATCCTTGAATCCCAGGCTTTATTTTGACAAAACCCACAGTTTATGTACTTTTTTATTTGACATTTTGGTCTTGTTGCTGTTATTTTTATCCCAAAGCTTCCTTTGCTGCCTGACACTAAACACTGGTCTGGTGAGTTTTATGGAGACTGGCCTTGACTCTAATTTTTATAGCAAGAGCAAAAGTTGGTTTTTGGTAGTGGTGAAGAGCCCATGAGTGAGTGAGAATCTTAAGAAAGATGGAGAACCACAACGATCACAGTGTCTTAGCAGAGGCAGATCGCACCAGGTAATCTGCTTACTCTGCTCTAGCACGAGCAGTTTCCCTTAGGTGGAATTTGGTAAAAGTGCACACAGAGGGCCTGCTTGGAGGTGAGGAGTTTCCAGAGGGGATGGTTCTGCTTGGTGGGTGTGCATAAACAAACGCACGGTGTATAACCACTGGTGCAGAACAGACTTTGCGAATACTCTGTTCTGAGGAGATTCGAGGTAGGATTTTGGTGGGAAGTAGTTGGTTGTTGGGGCTGAGGCTGTGGAGAGTTTATGGATGTAACCCTGGGACAGCTGTTTACGTGCCTGGGGATCTTGACTGTGTAGACTTTTCAGCCATTCCTTAACAAGTGTTCACTGAAGACCCACACACCAGTCACTGAAAGGGTAAAGAGTGGTGTACAAGAGAAAGCCGTAGCCTTCTGGAGCGTGTTAGATGTTAGCACATAATAACTGCAAGGAAATACCAACAAAACCTCATCATAAAATAAGGCAAGATGTGATAGGCGAATGGGGCATAATTTCATAGCATCACTGGGGGATAGTAACTTCGAATGATGAGCCGGTTTCACCAAGATCAAAGAATTAAGCTTTCCAGCTAAAGAGAACAACAACCCCAAATCCTCAAAGCAGGAACTGGTTTATAGGCTGAGAAGGAACATGCCAGGAGGCTGACTGCAGTGAGTGCGGTGGGAAGTGGTGGGTGATGACGTTCTGGAGATTGGTGAAGGCTGTGAACCCAGAGTAGAGAATTCAGATTTTCTTCAAGAACGGTGGGAAACATGAGAGGGTTTTAAGCAAGGGAGTGGTGTGGTCTGCTTTACCTTCCTTTGGTAGTTGGAGAACAGACAGTGGCGAGGTGAAATAAAGCCTTGCAGCCGCTCAGGTGAGAGATTCGGGGAGTCTGGGGCTAGGATGGTGGTCGTGGGGAGGATGTCAGGTTCAGGACATTTTCTGTGGCAAAGCTGACAGGATTTGGTGGAGAATTTGATGTGAAGAAGAGAAGGGAGAAACAAAAAAGGTGCCTCCAGTTTTTGGTGTGAGCAAAGAATGATACCATTAGATGGGATTTCAGAAAAGCAATGGAAGAGCAAATCCAAAGACGTAAATCAAGTCCTGCCTTGCGTGTGCTGAGTTCTGCATCTCGTTTATCCCAGTGGAGACTGTGAAGAGGCACTTTGATGTAGGAGTAAAGTTCAGGGGAGAAAATAAAATACAAGGAGTTACATGATCGTACTTAAAGCCATAGGACAGGATGGCAACAGCTAGGGATTTGGCATGGGATTAAGTAGTCCTTTGGGGAAAATATTAAGGCAACGCTTGTCTCAGTCTGTCAAGTCAAAGTTCTACATTAGATTTTTTTAAAAACTCAGTTAAGGATATGCCTTTCAAAATGTCTTAAAATATAACATCATAAATCTTACACTGAATTTTTAAATTATCCATGTCAAATTTGGGCTTTTATGCTACCCATGTCAGATTTGCTTGTGTATCTTTAGCATGAATGTTCATTATGAAGTATTTAGAAAGGACTACAGATTATAAAGAATCTACTCAAAGGTTATTCTGTTATTTTCTCTACTACCAACACTCTTCCCCTTCCAACACCCATTTTTATATCTTCCAGTGCTAACTGCTATAAATACTGTATTACTGTATTTTCCGTTATTCTCCAGGTCTTTTTAATGGTTAAAGGGTCAAGTTTAATAAAGATTCCATAACTAGGTGATAGAAGGAGAATTGCAGGCCTTGAGTCACTTATAGAGAGTTTGTACTCTCAGACTCCAAATTAGGCTCTTTGCTTTTTTTTTTCTTCTTCTTCTTTTTTTCTTCTTTTTTGGTACTAGGAGTCAAACACAGGACCTTGTGCTTGCCAGGCAGGCACTTGTACCACTGACCTACATCCCTGGCCCCTCAAATTAGTCCCTCTGCCTGACACAGCATGGGTCTGGCTTTCTTAGGTCCTGAGGCCACCAGTCCATGATTAAACCAAATGAGGTACTGTGGATTTTCTTCATGTACCTTTTAAGTACAATTTCAGTGGAAAATGAGGGACTGACCTCTAAAACACTGGTGAGGCCATGGGCAACAATGTAAATGTGTAATATATGGAAAGCAGTGAAGTAAAAGTAATTGGATTCGTTTGTGATAAGGAGAGACAAAAGCAACTCGGGCAGAGTCTGGAAAAAGGTCTGGAAATGGTGTCATCCCAAGAATGCCTGAGTTTGATTTGGCAGGAGCAAGGGGAGGGCAGGACTGAGGCAGGTGACACCCTCAAGCACTCAAGCATGTGAGACTGAGGTGCAGGCAGATCCTTAAGGGAGAAGTAGAAATTATGCCAGTTGCTCTAAGATAAACTATAATCAAGAGAATGGAATCAGGAAAACCTGTGAAATTCACGGAGCGCAGACTGAGAACAGTAGGATTAAACATCCTGGGGAAAGTTGCAAAAGAAAAAAATAGCACAGATTTGGGAAAGGAAAAGCAAGTGGTTTGCTTGCGAAGATTCATACTTATACGTCTTCATATTGTAGCAAATCATAAGAAAGCCAAGCTGAACGTCCATTTTATAATGTAATTATTTTTTAAATAAAACATACAGGCCAGGTATGGTGGCACACACCTGTAATCCCCAGTACTCAGGAAGCTGAGGCAGGAGGATCACTGAGTTCGAGGCCAGCCTGAACCCCATAGCAAAACTCTGTCTCAAAAAAACTAAATAAATAAATAAAATTTAAAATAAAACATACATAATGTCTTTTGAAAGGCACATTTTAATGCAAAAATTACTGGATCAAATAAGCATTTTGTCACTCCTAGCCATACTTACATGGAAAAAATAGAATTTTGTCAAACCTAAAGCAACATAAAGTTATTTGACAAAAGTGATGTGAAAAGTTAGCAAAATTTAAGAGGCAGTTAACTAACACCCTGAATGCTAATATAATCGTAGTTTCATTTCCCAACTTCAGTAAGTGAAAACTCATTTGAAATTTTATTGTTTAGTAGTTAGCATTACATTTAGAAATATATAGTATCACTAACTTTTCATTTTCTGAATATCCCTTTCTAACTAGAAACCCCGAGTTTTTAACAGTATACTGTAAAAGTATCATGATTCTGAATAGCTTGATCTTTGCCCATTTGTCGTAAAGTACATAAAAGTTACTATGCTTTAACACTTTAGATCATTTTTGAAAATTTAACTAGAATACTTTAAAGCTTTATCACCTAATTTTATAAATCTTCTAGGCCCCTTTGTGTGTAATTGAGACAGTATGGGACTTTAATAGCATTTTAGAAATAGAGAAAATGTTAGCATAGTAGTCCCAACACCGGGAATAAGAAATTTGCAAATTGTGTCTTTAAAATGTTGTGTTAGCAATTTCTCTCCTAACAGTGATAACAGAGCTAGAGACTAAAATACATTGTAAAATGTGGCTATGCTAAATTTCTTGGTCCTTTGAAGAGATAAGCTGAGAGACAGTATAGTTCATTGGTGATGTAAACGAAAGAAAGGGCCTACCTTTGGTCTACGAACAGGTAATTTTGTCAAGGGTGGCCAGTGTACCTAAAACAAATCTAGCAGGGAAGCCGCCAGGATAGTTTCCTGGGCCAGCAACAAAACATACATAACTTGCCGGGGATATAGCTCAGTGGCACAGCGCCTGCCTGGCAAGCGCAAGGTCCTGGGTTTGATTCCCCATACCAAAAATATATATGAATATGAAACTTGATGCCTGAGGAGGATTATATAATGTGCAAGACTGACTTGAGCTGGCTGCTTCTAATACTCTGCTTGTGTTTGGTACCTGGCTTAGACAGGTTAGGTAACTTGTCCAAGGACAAAGAATGTCAGGTCTGGATTACAGCATGGCTCTGAGACCACAGCCTAAGCTCTTACCTACTATACTTTTGAGATCCTACTTTTATCAGCCAAATTAATTTTTTGTTCTCAGTGTATTTCAAAATGACAATAGATTTCGAGTAACGGACAAAAGTGGGTTCTAAGCCATTGATAAAAGTGGCAAAAGAGTAAGCTGCTA